TCTGCCTCTGTACCAGAGGACCAGTCCTCTGAACAGACATAACAAGGAAACCAGGGCCACTTCTGCTGGACAGGTGACAAATAATAACTCAGGGAGATGTACTTCTTTGTTATACAGTCAGAAAAAGGAGTCTCTATAGACCAAGGATTTATCTGCTGCCTGTCCCCTAGCAGGGCTAGTCCCTCACCTTCTCTATGTAGGAGTAGAGGACACTCTCTGGGGACAGGGAGCCTTCTTTCAGTTTCTCTACCAGCTCCGCCAGCGGCAGCGACAGGATGTGGCTAGTCTGGACATCCGGGTTCTGCAAAGGTTTCAGGAACAATTTAACTTCACCCAAATGACCTCCTTTTCATATGTATATATATATATATGTATAAAAAAAGAAAACAGATTCATTGTAGGCGTCTAGGAGTCAGCCCTATTAAAGGCTGGGCTGCTGCTAAACCAGCTCTGCTAGGCACTGCCAGTATGTGCCAATGCCAGTAGTGTTTTGAAAATCATATTGATTGAAGGCTGAGCTGTGAGCAAAGGGAAATAGCCTGCATGGAGGCAGGGATGATTTGCAACTAATTCAGTACCTTATCCAGACAGCATTAGGCTGAGTAATGCTACTCAGTAATGGCTGAGCACATGCATGAAATTAGAGAGTCCTGGAGCCTCATCTGCTCTCCAGTGAGCAAAAAGCAGATGTCCTGATAAGGAGCATGAGATATGGACGAGTAACGGAGGTTGTGCAAGCCTAGGTCCATGAGCACTCTCTGTCAGAGCAGAGTGCACCAAGTCAGAAACCTGCTTATAGTTCAACCTGCTTATAGTTCAACTTGCTTATGGTAACTCAGCTATTTCAGCTTGAAGTAGATTAAGGAGCAACCAGCCAGACCTCTGACCAAGGTCTTGGAGGCACAGTGAGGATGACAAGCATATTTTGTATGCAAAGGTGAATATAAAGTGGACATATGTCTATGACCTCATTTGAAACACACCGTATTCTTGAAGGGACCCAAATGTGACATTACCTCTTCTTTGAACTGCTGGACGGCCTTCTCCATCTGCTCCAGGGCCTCTCCATGGTGCTTAGCTCGCGCAAACTTCCTCTTCATCAGCTTTCTCATGGCCCAGGTGAGAGCCACAAGGGAGCTGCACACCACGATGGGGACGGAGCAGGGGTTATCCCCCAGCCCTGCGAGGAATTGCTTCACCTTCTCACAGATCATGGTGGCAAAGCCCTCCCAGGAGCCAGCAACCTACATGGAGACATGAAAGGAAAAACACTAGCGAAGCTTGGACCTCCCAGCAGGAAGGGAAAGCCCATGGGAAGCCAGGTCAGACCCACTTCACCTCTCCAAAGGGCAGCCCAGGTGCTTTCTCCTGGCAAGGCTGTGGGTCTTGGTGCCTCCACGGCGCATTGGTGTCTCCAGGCCTCGCACTGGCCCTCCCTGTGCCCCCCAACACGGGGCCGCGGCCGGCGGCGCCACCGGTGCCCAACTGCCCCCTTCCAACTGCCGCCTAGAACCTGCCGGCAACGCACTCAGGGCTCCCGCACTCCCATGAAGGTGCGGGTCTTGCCACCGTCCCGCTGGCACATCCTCTCCACCACATTAACGAGATAAAAGCTGCTACTGCATGTTACCTGCGGACCTGCATTAACAGGGGGGTGCTGCTCCTCAAAGACAGAGTGAGGAGGTGGGAGCCATGAGCTCCGGTCGGACTCCTCACCCAAATGGCCTCTCACGGCGCGGGCTTCAGCCTTGCCATGTCGAGCATTCACCCAACTTCAATGGCCTCTGGCATGGGGCGAACCAGGGCACCACCAAACCCTCCCTCACACCATGGTCTCTTGACAGCCACTAGGCCCTGCCAGGGGAGCCTTGAGGCCTGAAGCGGGTCTGGCATTTCCTGGTGTTTTCCTGACAGTAAAGCCAGGAAAGTCAGGCCGGGGGTCATGTCACGCTCCATCACATCTGCCAGCGATGGCTGAGGCACAAAGAAAACATCACAAATCCTTTCTGACAAGTTTTCCATCACCCTTATAAAAAAGCATCTAAACAGGACAGCTTGGAGTACAGAGGCAGGATTTTTTGCGAGCAACGTCGAGTATTTTTAGGACAGGCACATGGAGAGATAAATCACGCTGATGTTTCCAAACTGCAAGCCCAGGCAGCACCTCCTTGAGGGAGCCGGGACGCCAGTTCTCAGCCTTTAGCAAAGCGCTGGCGCTCACCCACGTTCTGCCTCACCCATGCTCTGCCAGTGACAAGGCGGACGCTGGAGAGCACAGGCCAAGGGCATTGATTGTTTATTGCTCCCAACAGCCACCTGGGTTCAGGAAAAACATCGGAGCCGGGTATTTTCAGGAACTTTCTCTGCTCTTTAGATATGGCCAAGGCCATTCCCGGAGAGCGCAGGGAGGGGCGTAGGGGCGTGCGCTCCACAGACCCAGCCTCATTCAGGGAGCCACAAAACGCCTGGGACGGGAGCGCACCACAGCGTAGAGGGCAGAGCAGGTTTCTCTCCAGGAGCCTTCCTGCTCTGAGGCCAACTCCTCTCCGCCTGCGCTGGCGCCGGTTGCGCGCGCGAGGCTGCAAAGCACTGACTGCCTTGTCAGGCCAGCCCTTTCCTGTGCGCAGATCCCTCCCAGATTTTGCCTGCCCCTTCCCTCGCTCTCCATCCGCTGCCGCCAAGAGCAGGCAGGGACAGTCCCCAGTGGGTGCCGCGGTGCTGCCGGAGGAGAGGGGACACCCTGGCAGTGGTGATGGCCGCTGTGGCGCTTCTGCAGCTGCCCGTGCTGCTCTGCTGCTCGGCCGCCAGCCTGCTGCTGCTGCTGCGGTGGCAGCGGCGAAGGAGGCTCTGGAACAAGGTGAAGGAGGCTCAGCTGAGGCACGAGCAGGGCTTGGCACAGATGGAGAAGATTGCGCTGGGCTTTCGGAAGAAGGTGGGTGCAATAATCTCCATGGTGGGAGGCCGTAGAGGGGGGTGAAGCGCCCACCCCGCATGGGCTCGTTGCCTGCCCCAGCGCTGTCAGGGCAGGCAGGACTGGCAGGTGCAGACCCCTCTTGCAGGCACAGGGTCTGTGGCTTTGCAAAGGGCAATTGCTGTGCTGGTGGGAGGCCG